AATAAAATTTGATTATATTTCCTATTGAAAAACACTTTAAACTTGGTAAAACTTCAATTAGAACGTTTTTTTACTGGGTTGCCAAAACACGTCTTAAATCATATTTTTCCAAAATTTTAAAGTCAATCCGGAGGCTGTTACCTAAAACAGAATTTGAAAATACTTCATAAATACTAGTTCTAACCCATAAGGCACCTTTTTATCGCTATTACGAAAAGAAAATAGAAAAAAAAAATTTCGGCCCACCCTAATGCAGCATAGGCAGAACATTCTCTTATTTAATGGGATCTCTGATTCTCCTGAACTTAATATTGAACAAGAAATACTGGGCATCATACATAATAAAATGGGTATTCCACATGTAACAAATTTATCCTTTTTACGTTCTCATCGAATTGGTGTTCATAAGAATGGTCATTCACGGCCAATTCTTGTACAATTTCAAGATCACCGCATAAAGTCTAAGGTGTGGAAAGCTAGAACTAAGGTAAAGGGCTCTCAAATATCGGTGTCAGAGTTTTTAACCAAAATGAGGCAACCTGTTCATAAAAAAGCACGCAAACATTTTGGATTGAAGAATGTGTGGACCTTCAATGGCACAATTTTTATAGAACTCCCCAATAACGAACGGGCAAAGATCTCCACTGAAGAGGAGATTGATAAGCTCATTGGAAAGTTTCCTGGCGATTGCTCACCAGTTAGTCATGGCATAGCTTCTAATAGTAGCGTTACTAATGTTGCAAAGAAGCTCTTTCAAAGCCAGCAAAGTTCTTCAAGCTCAAAAAGTCAGTGTGAGATTTCTCGGCGCAATCAAGATGGTATGGTGGGGCAGAAAGAGGATCCTAAAAGTACCCGCCGTTTAATAGCTAAAAAGTAGCTTATTTAAATTATCTTGTTATATCCTTAGGTATCTTTTTTTTTAATATTTAATATTAAGTACATTTCATGGTTCTGATTTCAACTTTAGCATAGAATACTATTATGCCTATAGTTATGAGTAGTTCGCTTGTAATAGCTGTTTTATTGCAATTTTTTTTAAGTTCTTTTCCTTGTAGTATAAACTCCTTTGGAATGTTTGTCCTTGTAAATCAAGATAGAATTTAATCGTGATTTATGTCTAGTACATCACTTGCTTATGCTTAGTTTTCTCTTTAGTTAGTTAGTAGAGGAGTCTTACTTATTTAGTAGGTTTATCTATGCTATGCATGTTAATGGTAATAATCTAATTACAATCATCTTTATAATTTGTGCTAACAATACGTATTGTTTTTTACTTTTATAAATGTACCCTAAATTGACCCTAAAAACTATACATAATATTTTCTATTTGATTTATAATTTTGACATTTTTTAGCCTTGCTAGACAAAGGACAAATGTACCATACAGGCACTATTGATTTTGTACTTTACTTTAGTTTTATAGTTTACATACCTTACTTTTATATTTTATATATAATATTGTTTAGTTTTTTTTTTGTATATTTATCTCATTTATGTATTATCTTAGTCTATGAATTATGTCTGATTTTGAGTCGTTTAGCTCTGCGAATGATTCTTCTGCCATATCATTTTACTCTTGTGATGATTCCTTTACCGACAGTGCGCTTGATTTACACCAACTACTCAAAGAAGTTTTTAAGCCTTTTAACAACTCTCTGAACATATGTCACATAAACGCTCAAAGTATCCCGAGCCACTACACCGAACTCGAAGCTTCATTTTCACCCGAGCATATTCATGTCATATTAGTGTCGGAAACTTGGCTGAAACCTTCTTTACCGTCAACTTTATATCCCCTACCCGGTTTTGTACTTGTTAGGAATGATCGGGTTGGAAAAAGTTGGAGGTGGGGTAGCCATTTACCTACACGTATCAATTCCTCATAAAATTGTTTTAGCATCTCCTTCCTGTTACTCTGCCTCTTCTGAGTTTTTATTTTTGGAACTTGATGTCAAGGGTATAAGGATGCTTCTAGGGGTAATGTATTGCCCCCCTTCGACAGATTACTTCGCCACTTTAGATATGGCTCTTGTTGATATTTGTTCTGAGTACGCACACTGTATAATCATAGGTGACTTCAATACAGATTTGTTGAAAAACTCTCCTCGTTCCAAAAAACTTCTTTCAATTGTTGAGTCGGTTAATCTTTCTATTCTCCCTTTAAAGGCTACTCATCACAGTATTGGAACCGATGACTCATTGATAGATCTCATCTTTGCTGCTTCTCCTGATCGTGTGATGATGCACGGACAGTTACCTGCTTTGGGCATCTCACGTCATGACTTGATTTATTCTTCGTATAAGCTTAAACCTCCCAAATATTCCCCTTTTGTACTGCATCTGCGCAGTTTTTCTAAAATAGATTTTGACAAGTTAAGGGATGACGCTCTTAGTCTCGATCTAACCTCATTTATTGCAGCACCTACTGTTGACGATAAAGTCTCTATCCTTAACCAAACTATTCTCAGCCTTCATGATGCTCATGCCCCAGTTCACAAGGTTAGGTTGAAGCATCCTCCAGCCCCATGGATGACAGAGGGCGTAAGGATGGCAATGACTAGACGTAATCGAGCTTTTCTTCGTTTTAAGAGAGAACGTAATGAAGAAAATTGGTCATCTTTTAAAGCAGCCAGGAATAGGTGCAATCAAATGGTACGGGCAGCTAAACGCCGATATTTCCATAATTGTATTAACAACTCTTCTCCCGCCGAAGTGTGGAAATTTCTTAGATCTTCTGGTCTTTGCAGGCCAGCTACATTGGATTCTCTATCACTTCATGAAATCAACGAACATTTCGCTTCTGTAACAGCAATGGACCCTACAATTCGCTCTCAAACTGTGGCTTCCATTGCATCTGTGCAAATTCCTAATATACCTACCTTTATTTTCTCTCCTGTTTCGCAGTATGATGTCAAAAATTCTATTTTAGCAATTCAGTCCAAGGTCATGGGTTATGATGAGATTAGTAGACAAATGGTAGTATTTATACTAGAGCACCTTCTTCCGGCAATTTCCCATGTTATAAATTTTTCCCTTGATTCAGGTCAGTACCCTTATCTTTGGAAAAGGGCTTTTATAAAGCCCCTTCCATAAGTTCCTTCTCCCATTCTTCCCAATCATTTTCTTTTTAGCAACAACATATCTGCTATCTTTTTCACTCTTATTTTCATAAAAATATAGTATGTACACAAATAATTACTAATTAATTATTTGGTGCAGCTTATCAATCGACTTTATTTTGTTGCTGGCTTTGTATGAGTTGCTGCTTCCGTTACTGACCAGCAACAAAATATCTGCTATATTTTTTCCTATAAATTTCATGTAAATATAACATTTGCACAAATAATTATTACCGTATTACTCGGTGCAGCTTATCTATCTATTTTATTTTGTTGCTGGCTCTTTGTGGCTTGCTTCGTTCATTACTGGCCAGCAAAAACATATCTGCTATATTTTTTCCTAAAATTTTTATATAATTATAGCATGTACACAAATAATTACAATTTTATTATAGAAGAGGGTGCAAACGAGCATGCGGCTCACCTGATGGTAAGTGACTACCGTCGCCCATGAACAACCGCAATATCGCATATGCAGATGCATTGTCGGCCTTTAAAAAGGAATAGGCTCTTTTCTTGAAGGTCCCTAGTTGTATCGGTCCGGAAAAATCGCTGGTGGTAACCTATTCCACCAAAAAGTTGTGCGAGGAAGAAAACATCTTCCAAATCGCACAGTGGTGGACCGCCAATCATCCAGATGATGTGGATGGTATCGGGAGTTCTGTCGCGATGTGCGTTCGTGCGTTTCTCGAAACCGGTTGGAGCAACAAAATCGCGATTTTGGAACTAAGTAGCAACAAATTAGTTACAAATTCCTTGAAATAATTTTAAGGTTTCTGCTAACTTTATAGAGCTTTCATAGAAGGTGACAGAGGGTATCAGAAAAACTAAAAAAAAAAATTATAAAAGAATGTGGTTGCCAACTCGTCCGCAAACGCCGGTACATATAACTAATGATATCTTATATTTACGCGAACACTACAGACTGAATAAAACTATCTTTTTTTTTTCAAAAAAAAATATTTTAAAAAACTGAAGATAGCCGGGCTAACTTTGACATCGGGACGTCAAACATTTCAGTCCCCCCCGTAACCATGGGTTGCTGTAAAGCACCCGAAATGTCGGGAATTAAAATAGTAAAATTAAACGCGATAAAATCCGTAAAAAATAGTTTTATTCAAAGCCGATAGTAACTATGATAACATTTTACTGTATAATTTCGATAAGCTTGAAAATATTAAAGAAAGTAGTTTTGATGATTGAATGTTTCCAAAGAGAAGATGATTATATTCAGGTATCAAGAAATTTATTACGTAACAGAAAATAATAAAAATTCCAAAATTTTACTATAAATCGGTCAGGGTAGATACCTTCCCCTTAAGTCTTTCTACTACCAAATAGTAACCGCGCAAGGGAGGAATCGCACGCGTGCGAATACACCCTCGCAGATCTTCATTTGTTTGAAAATATTCCTTTAATATTATATTGTTCTAGAAATATTATTGATAGCTAAATATATATGACAAATAAGGAAAAGCTGGGTCTGCTAGTATTTATATACCTACTTAAAATTAGATCTCTAAACTTAAATATTTGTACTGTCTATTAGACATATTGTTACAAAATAAATATTTTATTATGATTTTTTGACAATAATAGCCTGTGAGGAATTCCATCTTATTTTTTGGATATGACAACCTATCTGTATCCTACTTTGTTTAATATTTGCTGCAGGTGTCCTTGGACTGCAGTAACCACTTATTATCATCATCACTTTAAGTTCGTATGTCACTTTCGTTTTAACATACAAAATCTACAAAATACTTAATGTGGAATGCACTTGCAATGATGGAATGTGTTATACAATATGCAGTGCTTGTAACACATTTCTTATTATGAAACTCGAACTAAGGTTTGAAATGAAGAGACGAAAATTCTTACTGCAATCAGCCATCGAAAGTAACTCATTACAATATCCTTATCAAAACGTTTTCCAACATTTTTTACTACATAAATTCTGTAATAGTCATCAGTCATTTTAGGTAACAGCCCGTCCCATCTGAAAAATAAAATATATTACAAATGTATTAGTAAACTTTCGTAATAGCAGAAACACATTGTCCTCTTGAGTATCGAATTGCTATGGATTACTCGACCTCCTAAATCTTCTAACATTGCACCCTGTCGATGGTCTATTTTTGACATCTCACCTACGTGCATTGAACATGTGTTCATAATATCATTCAATGGAAAATAAATTATATCATCGGGGCATTTACACGAATGTATCGACGCCCAGTTATTAAGACTACTCCTATTTAAAAAGACTGGCAACGCACCTACAATTCCGCTAGTGTCATTCTTGTTCAAAGCAGCGTTGACACCTATCATCAAATCCTCTATTCTATGAAAAAGTTGCGATGACAGGGGTTTCCCCCTAACCATAGGAAACCAAACCGAGCTTTTTATAAAAATAGGTCAACAATATAATTTCTGCAGGTTCGGGAGACATTCTGTACGGTTGAGGGATGATTGAGGATTAATAAAATTATTAACAAGTAATACTTACACAATGTCCGAATACTTGTATTCAGTCTTAAAATCGACATATTTATAGAACTGCGGCATCAAAGTCCTAAGAGTGCAATTTCTGTCTATTTTTGACTTTGCGCGCTCCACTGAACCCTTGCAAAAAATTATTCTCCTCTCCAAATATTCTCTGGCTGAAAAAAGCAATTTATCGAATGAAATAGAATATAAATTATTAATAATATAACAGTGGTAGAGCCACGCGGCAGCTTTTGCTGTCGCACGGATGGGCCGGCTCGAACCGGGGTAGTACCACGACCTCACAGAAAACCAGCGTGAAGTAGAGGTTTACCTCTGCGTTTCGCTTGGTGAGTGCAGGTGGCCGGAGGCCCTTTTTACTGGAAATGAGGCATTCCATCTTAGTCCTCGCGGGTGACAGCGCATCTGCATTTTGATTTGTAACAGAGGATAGATGTAGATGTCTATGGGCCGCAGCAACCACTTACCATCAGGTGGACTGCGTGCTCGTTTGTCACCCTCATCCTATAAAAAAAAAATAAAAAAATAAAAAAGAATCCGTACCATGTAAAATACGTGGTAGCCACCTATAGCGCAGAATGGATGCAAGATAAGACGGCACGACCGGGGGCAGAAATATCGCACCTGCTTTAGATTTTTAGTCTAGTATAAATGTAAGTATCTACGGATAACATGGGTTCTCGTTTGTCATCCTTACGTATGGAAAAATTTTAAAAATTATTTCTGTTATCAATTATTAATTAATTAAATGACATGATTTCTTTTTCTAATACCCTCTCACATGACTCTTCCCTGACACAGAAATCTTGTTTCAGGATTTTGCTATAATTTTAACTATTATTTTACTTTCAAACCGGAACGAAACAATGAATTTACTTCTTAGTGTCTTTAAAAGTTATCTGTTGAAACTCAAACTCTACATAATTTTAAAATGCCGTTAAGTCTTGTACTGTCTATATCACTTTAAGTAAAAGTGACTGTAGCTACAAAAGACTTAACCACATTTTAGTATTGAGTATTTGGGGCGGTAATAAATCATGGGTTTCTTTTTCAGCTTATTTGTCTGAAACAGAAAAGGAATCCTATCAATAAGATCAAAAAGCAACTAAGTGTGAGACCTATTTCTACCTGTATATTCTCACGGGCTGATGAGGATTATCATTTAAATAAATAAATATATAATTTAAAATTTGTGTATTAACGTAACATTCTTAGCATCAAATTTTTAAAATCTTGTGATCTAATAAATTTATATTAAGCAAATTAATTCTGAAAAATCTTGATATAAGATTACTTCTATTCTCCTTGTTCTTATCTCTACGGCCATCTTTAAGACCGTAATATAAAATTGGATAATATATTTTATGTGTGGATACAATATGTATATACATAATATCATGGTACAGATAATTAAAATCTACATTACATAATTTTAACATGGTGGAGCCATGCTACAGTTATATTAGTAGAATAGTTGTAGCACGAATGGGTCGGCTCAACCGGGGAACTACCACGCTCTCACAGAATACCAGCATAAAATACCAGCATAACGGTGCTGTGTTTTGAATGGTGAGTGTAGAGAACCGGAGACCCTTTTTTACTGGAAAAGACGTATTCCATCTTACTCCTCATGGGTGACAACGCATCTCGGTTTCGAACCCCGTCGGCATAAAAAAAATTGTTCATTGGAATTTCATAAATGCTGATGTATCAGTATACATCATGAGGAAGCCTGCATGTTTGAAAAATTAAAAAGATTCATATTTGTAAGAGAAGTGAAGTCCACCAATATGTATTGGGTTACTAGGGCAGTGAACATTTCTTTGCACAATAACCCTCTGAGAGATGAGAAAAGGCCTGTGCCCAACTGTGGGACCTGTATAGAGTGTACCTTAAGTTTTGCTTGCATGCGCCGAATAGGGTATAAAAATCAATTATCAAGAAATTTATTGAGATGAGTTTTATGGACAGCGCTTAAAACTAACCGTAACAATAACATTGTCGACTAATTTATGCAACCACAAGACCATAGGATATTAGGTTTTGTACCTGGAGGGATCTGCATAAGCATTAGGCCGTATCCAGTGACTGTAGAGTCAGCGCTTTTGGTTACATGAGGTATCAGGAAGAGCTCATGGGAGCGGCCAGATCGTTTTGACATCGACTTCTGTCAAAACTTATTAATTAATTACAATTATACGAGTAAATGTAATAAGAAATAAAATAGATTTTAAATTGTTTGTGAAAGAAGCGGAACTGGACCATGAGAGCAGCTGAGACTTTTCATCATCCTTTCAACTACATCGGTGTTCTGTTATCTTGAGATCAAATTTTTCTCATTTTAACGTACTCTGGTTAATTATTGTAAAAAAATTTCTAACATGTAATAAATAATTTAAGTATAACCTATTTCCATAAGTTTTATATTACTTATAATTATACAGAGAAATATTTTTATTAATCATGTATACCTTTTATTCTAACAACTCGCATAATAGTTTTTTAATTATTTATTAAATATACATATTCTTAAAATACTTACGATAATCTTTTTTCTCGAAATGATTTTGTTTTTTCACCCACTCTTGTAAAATGTCGATGGCTTGATCCATACTCCCTGGCTTATCCAAATTATAATCCTTACGAATGATTTGAAGTGCATCTTTATTGAATTCAAGCAGATTGGTCGTTGGTAACGAATCCATTGTTTCAACCACCTGCTTTAATTAACAACACCTGATCGTCTGAACGCCACGTAAATACTAAAGAAACTTTGCCTCCGTGTTCAATATTAAAAGGAGGTAACTCATTCGTTAAAAATATATTTAAAAATCGAAATTTCCCGGTGTCGACTACAACTACGATATCATAAAAAATAAGGCTATAACAATATACAAAACATCTTCATCACAAACATCAACATCAATTAGTGACGAATGAAATACTTTCAGTAATTTTGTTTCGTTAGTAATTAAAATCAAAACTCTAAATTACAACAATTTATTGACGTAAATAATACTTATTTTTATAAAATTATGTAACACTAGCAATCCGCTTCTGCTTCTCACGGGTGATTTCTGGATCTAGACAACAGCGCCACCCACCGAGTCCAAATCTATATATAAACCATCTAGGAAACCATTCAAACACACAAAAAATCGTTTTTGGGTTTTAGCGAGACTAACAGACAGCAGTCGATTTTTTATATAGATTATCATCAACATCATCATTATTATTGTCATCAATTGTATATACTGATATATCCACTGATTACGGCCTCTTCTGTAATACTCTATCCAATTACCTTGGTGTTTGCAGTACATAAGTATCTTAATTTAAAGCCGTATTAAGTAATATAATACTGAATATATCTGTGCAATAAAATACTTATAATTTTATATAGTAACTATCCTCAAGAGCACTTACATCACTTTAGCAAACGAACATGAAAAGGCAAAAAGGCATTTCAACGAAGGCTTAAATATATATTAACTAAACTTAAAAATGGAAAACCCCAATTGAATAAATGCTTTGAAATCGGTGTCAATACAAAGTGTATCGAATAACTAAAGTACCGACTTTATAAGCTATAAGCTGTTCGCAACTATCGAGAATACGTTGGAAGGTTAATTGTTAAAAATAATAATAGTGTGAGAATGGATGTTCAACTTGCTCTCCTGCTTACGCAATTAATAATTATGAGCAATAAAAATGACTTAGGTGGAATCTCTCGCGCGCGGCGCCTATAGTAAACATTACACTGCACCAACTAGTGGGTTTTTCTCGATTTACCCTCAATTCTACGACATCACCGTCGATATGACACACTGCTACAGTGATGCAACCTCCCGCTCACTTTCGATCCCTCCGGTTTTTTATAGACGCGCCAATAAGCTATTAAATAATGTGCAATTTTTCAATTATTTTTAGTCCTATAAATTTTAATTATTTGAGTAATTTGAGGGGACTTAAAGATGTTACGCAACAAACAAAATGCCATAAAGCTTGGTCATGTCAGTAATAGATGGGGCAAATTCAACTGGTTAAAAATAAGTTAGTTTTAAACTCCAGAAAAATATGTGCAATAGTTATTGCCATATAATATGTTGACTACCGCCGTCTGAACGACGTTACGAAGAAGGACAACTATCCCTTGCCAAGAATTGATGACACGCTGGATATGCTTACAGGAGTAAAGTAGTTTAGCACGCTGGACCTGAAAAGCGGCTTCTGGCAAGTTGAAATTGACCCTAAGGACAAGGAGAAAACTGCTTACTTGACACGTAAGGGTCTGTAGCAATTTAATGTTATGCCGTTTGGATTGTGCAATACTCCAGCAACGTTTGAAAGGTTGATGGAGCTTGTACTTACCGGGCTAATTGGATTTGCCTGTCTGGTCTACGTAGATGACATCATCGTGGTAAGCCGTAAGTTTGAGGAACACCTTCAAAACCTGGAACGCGTGCTCATGCAAACCTCAAGATGAGTCCGAAGAAATGTTAACTATTCTAACAGCAAGTTAGCTTTTTGGGGTATGTAGTGTTGGAAGAAGGTATCCGAACGGATCCAGAGAAAATCACCGATGTCAAGGATTTGTCGGTCCCAAAAGACAAGACGCAGGTTAGAGCATTTTAAAATAAAATAATTACTCTTTCTATTGGAGCATTAATTGTACCAGATAGGCATAAAATATATTCGATTAAAAAATATGTTGAAGATTGTTGGTGCGAAAGACTTTGAATACATACATGCAACAAGATTTTGGGGAAACTTTTTAATTATCCAATTTGGTTATTTTTGGTCGGTCTCGCTCTCGCACTGACGTGACGTCTGACAAACTTAATAGATATATGTTTTCGCGCAGTTTCGGAAAACGAGACAATTTTGTGTCCCGGAGCTTTGATTGGGGACAATGGGACAGGTGACCGTGAATGGGAACAGTCCCGTTCAAAACGGGACGTATGGTCACTTTACCTTTAACCCTTATACTTCTTGTTGATTTTTGTATTACCTTTTTGTGTAAATAAATATAATTACGTAAGTAGACATAAAATTGAATAAAAATAAAAAACAAACTTTTTTTCATCCTCATCAATCATTGGGGTAAGGAGTTTGTTGGAATGATTATGATGTAATTATTGAACGTTATAAAATATTTAATATACATCACCGTGTAGTGACGGCGTAACGGAGTCCGCTACCACACACATCATCCCTTAGTTATGTAATTCAAAAAGGAGATGAGTCACAGCAGTTTTCTGATAAGACTTCTATAATAAGAAAAAACTGCGGATGCTAACCCGCCCGCCATGCGTACCCACTATGATGAAAATCCCCACTGCTAGGCAAAATGGAGGCCTATGTTTAACAGTGGTCTTATAATGTGCTTCAAAGAAATAGTAAATGAATAATTAATATTTAAATATTAATTAAAGCTACTGTTACTAATTACTATGCTCTAATACTCATCTTCTAATTTATCAACTTGTAAATAAAGAGCTAATTTCTGGACTAACATTTAAATAAAAGAAAGTATGTAGACGCTGTTTCGCAGTACTCATTTGGATATTTCGCATAGGGTCTTGTGCGTAAAAGTGGTAAAAACCTATGAAACTAATCGGAAATTTCTAAATATGCCTCTTTAGGACTCTGTAGGAGTCTTTATTTGCCTAAGAGTTCTTCTATGTCACATTTTTACATATTTGTGCTTCCAAGGAGCAGTACGTGCGCTGATGTATTCCGGTCTAAACGGTACAGAGAGTCAATATTCCATCTTAGCCTTCATTTGTGACAATGCACCTGTAGCCTTCCTTTATTTTAAAGTTTGTTGCAGGTATATAGGTTTATTTTAAAGTTCGATTATTGTTTAAATTTATATTAAAAACAAAATCATGCCATTTATGTAAAGTTTAATGTAAAGTGCTTTAACGTTTTCACCTTTCAGCTTTAAATGTAAATAAAACATCAAAATTAGGCAAAATACATAGATAATTTTCAGTTAATGTAGAAAAACCGTAATGTTATTATTAGTTTTAGTCAGTATTGAGATAATTTGTCGCTTCTGCATGGTCAATTTCGCTATCACGGTTTATTTGTGAAAACACTATACCACTGAAATATTTGTAAATCATAGATTTATTTTCCTTAACTTCAATGTCGGGTTTATTCAGGAAAAGAATCAAGGCAAAAAAAGAGATGAATAATACATAAGTTGAGTTAAAGTAGTTAAAAGTCTAATAAATAACCAGTTTCCGTAATGAAGTCATAAATTTAACAAAAAATTAATAACCATACAAAAGTACCCAAATAAGATAATCATCGAATTCATAACACGTAATACGTTTTAATAAGTTTTTCCATAAAGTATATCTCAATTAAATACTCGTAAAAAGTGATAGGGTTCTGCTTAGTTGTGTCAATGTGCTTTATTATCATGGACAAATAACAGCTTCTTTTTCGTATCATGACCTCATTTTCATTTCATATCGTGTTCGTCCACCAAAGCGTAAACCACATTTTCGATTTCTTCGTAGCTATAAGGGTATTGACTTGGAAGCCATAAGGCGAGATGCAAGTGGAATGGACTGGTCTTCCGTTATGGATTGTCAAAATATTGATAATATGGTGAATAACTTTACTACTTTAATTCTTAGATAGTATGACTGCCATGCACCTCTCAAACGTATAAAAATAAAACATTGTCCTGCGCCCTGGATTACAAAAGATATAAAAGAGCTTGTGGCACGTAGGGATAAAGCCAGAAGTAGATATAAACATTGTCGCTTGGAAAGAAATCTAATCAAGTTTAAGATTTTACGTAACCGCTGCAATCGTCTGTGTAGAGACGCTAAAAGACGTTACTTTTTTACTTTTTTTGAAATGGCGACCGCGGAGATTTTAGCCGACGTCAACACTTAACATACGTAGCAACTACGTTCTGTATTACTGAGAAAAGTGCAAAGATTAATAGGCTGTAGAAGTGACAAGCGTATAAGTGATATACTGCCTATTATGCTTATTATCACCAAGAGTTATGTCGCAGTTAAGTATCTTCAATTTCATTGCACCATATCGTGTTGATCCTGAACTTATTTGTAATTTATTTTCGTTTCTTTTGTTATATCTTGTAACCTTTTTAAAAACCGACTCAAACTCATTGGTTTATTATTTGTATATTTTTTCTGTAATGTATTGGGTATCTTGGATAAGTTTGTAATTTTTATTGAATTTTATCACAAAGTTTTTGCAATAAGTTATTATCTCCTATTAATTATGGCGTGACTATAGGATGTTATATAGGTACTGAGTTACTGTCAGTTACTAAGCGGCTATAAATCAATATACGAATACACAGACAGATTTACATATTTTAATTTTATTATTTTTAATTTTTTGAATTTTGATTGATTTTTTTAAACCTAATAAAATTATTTCTTTTTTCTTTTTCCATATCAATTGATGACACCAGTTGTATTCTTTGACTGAAGTTATTTTTTATTTTATGCATAATTGAAGACAAAACAAAAACAAAATTTTACTTCTTCTCCTTCTAAACTCCTGCACCTGACGAGGCGGAACAACTTTTTCTATAAAAATATGTTTCATTAATAATTTTTGGTAAGAGTTAATGAGTGAAACATTTTTATCAGCCGCTTTATTTTTTTTTAAAGATATTTTTATGATGTCGCTAATTTTACAAATATCC